CAGGGCTAATCGTCCTCAAATAAATAAGTAAATAAATAAAAATAAAATAAAGAATTGGATCAAATAAATAGAGAGATAAATCTTAAAATCAACTACCTTAGCTCCTTTTTAGGTCTTGTTTTCAATTTAATGCAACTAACTGAAAAACAAAAACAACCAGGGGCCAGCCTGGTGGTGCAGTGGATAAGTTCGCACATTCCACTTTGGCAGCCCGGGGTTCGCCAGTTCAGATCCTGGGTGCGGACCTACGCACTGCTTGTCAAGCCATGCTGTGGCAGGTGTTCCACATATAAAGTAGAGGAAGAGGAGCATGGACGTTAGCTCAGGGCCAGTCTTCCTCAGCAAAAAGAGGAAGATTGGTGGCAGATGTTAGCTCAGGGCTAATCTTCCTAAAAAAAATAAATAACATTAATAGAAAAACAACCAACATCTATTGTCAAAACATCTTCAAAAGTTCTAAGACACTGTTAATTAGATTAAAAGGTGATTACAAGGTAGGCTGAAACCTAGTCACTGATGACAAAAAACAGCTCTTCTCCCTCTAGGCTAGCCATATCTAATATTACTAACCCTCAACTTCCATGTGCCATCTGCACTTACACACCCCAAATATAAAAGTAGAAAAGCATACACAGAGAACAGTCAGAAGTAAGGAAAATCCAGTGATGACAGCTGCCATTAAGAAAAGGCCTGAAAGATAACTTAAGCAGATGCTCCATAAAATGTTGATCCAGACTTCACATGGAGAGAAGTGTCATGCTTCATTTCAAAGATGATATATTAAGTCCCAACACACCACAGATAATCTAATAACAAAGCTGTGACTTTCATTGTCGAGGAGTCCCTTCTTTCTCACTCTAATACCCTTAAGCCATCAGATACACAGATGCTCCTTGCTGAAATGCAAGAAAAATATGCACATTTTCATTCCCTGATCACCAGTGATGGGCTGCTAAACCAGAAGTCTACTTTAAGTTATGAAAACAGGGCAAGCTGATCCAATTACACAAGAAAGGTACTAAATCAAACAGGACCATCTGGCTTTGAGGAAGAGTGCTGTGATTTCTGAACAAAAGTCAACATACTTGCAGATAAAAATGCTTTCAAATATTCAGAGTTATACTGGCCCTTAGGCTACTGATTCATTTGCATGTCCAACAAGAGTTACGCGTTGTGTTAAGACATATGGCCTAGATGGCGGGTATGAAAGAATATCACATTCACCAGTTCATACAAGAACATCTGTGCACTCTCTCTAGCCCTATGAGACTTACAAAAAACAGTCAATATTCCCCAGAAGTGAAGAGGTTTTCTGTTTCCTGAATAGCAGTTTTGGTAAACTAACAATCCAGCATCCCCCATAAACTAAGAACTGTTCCCCAACAATCACTAATCTCCAAACCAATTTCCAAGATCCTAAAATTTTAAGACCTAACCCAACCATGTAAGTTTAATTTGCAGGACCTATTTTAAAATAGCCTTTATTCGGGAAAGTTCTTATAGAAAAGACGTTCCATTGTACATGCATCAAATTTCTTTATGATATTGATGGTTTCAGCATCAACACTAATACATTAATATCTGTGGAAAGAACTGACAGAAAAAATCTCTACTGTAAATGTTGAGCTCAAAATTCACTATGCTTTTTACCTGGTTTTTGGGAGAGCTCGCACGCTCTGAAGCCTTGCCTCCTACCTCTCTGCTGCTCACTCCCTAAGCTCCAGACACACGGGAACTTCCTTCAATTCTTCAAAATAGCCATGTTCATTCCCTCCTCCGGACCTTCACCCATGCCATTCCCTCCATCTGGAAGAGTCTTTTGTCCTTCCCTCTCATCCGTTAGGCTTCAGCCTAAAAGTCAAGTCCTCAGGAACCTTCCCTGACTGCTCTCCTTCCCAACTGACCTGCGTTAGGCTTCCCATTAGCTGTCTCCACAGCATTTAGAGCAACAGTAATTAATTACTCGTTTAATGGATGTCTTCCCCACAAGACCATAACGGCATGAGTGCAAGGACTGAATCAGCTTCTTTCACTGCTGTATTGCCAACACCTAGCAGTGCTCAGCACAGAGCAGCAGCTCAAAAATTCTTGTCAAATAAATGAATAACAGGGCCAAGAGAACCATCAGCTCCGGCGACTCTACTTATAATTTACCCTACAGATACAGTCACACATGCAAAGGGCCAAATATATATGGTTATTCACTGGAGCACAGTTTCTAATAGCGAAAGACTGGAAACAATTTAAAATGTCTACCAGTATAGGGCAGGTGTCAAATCTCTTCATTGCTTATACAGAATGATTGCCAAAATAAGTTTAAAAAAATGCAGATAGTGAAAAAGCAAAAAATATACATATATTTACTTTATAAGTACATGGTATCTTCAGAAAGAATCTTTTTTTTTCCCTGAGGAAGATTAGCCCTGAGCTAACATCCATGCCCATCTTCCTCTACTTTATATGTGGGACACCTACCACAGCATGGCGTGCCACATGGTGCCATGTTAACTCCCGGCATCTGAACCGACGAACCCCAGGCGACCGAAGCAGAATGTGCGCACTTAACCGCTGCGCCACCGGGCTGGCCCCATGAAAGAATCTTAAGAAAGTGATCATTTTAGTTACCTCTGAGAAGACTGGCTTGAAGAACTTCTCTGAGAAGAACTGGATTGATAAGCAGACAAGGGTAGAAGGTAGACTATTCACAGTACACCCTTTTTATCTTTCGAATTGTGAACTATGTGTATTTAAAAAATAAAATTTGCGGGACTGGCCCCATGGCTGACTGGTTGAAGTCTAGCTCTGCTTTGGTGGCCCAGGTTCACAGGCTCAGATCCCGGGTGTGAACCTACTCCACTCATCAGCCATGCTGCGGAGGCATCCGACATATGAAATAGAGGAAGACTGGCACGGATGTTAGCTCAGGGCTAATCTTCCTCACCAAAATAAAAATTAAAAAATAATAATAATAAAATAAAATTTGCTGAAGACAGTCCTGTCCTTATTTCTAAGACAGTGATGAAGAGTTTAAAAATCTCATACCTGGATCTTTAATGACAAACATCCTGCCTATAAGCTGAACACTGGGAAGATGGAAGTGGAAAGAGGAAAAACTCACCTAGCCACAAAACTCAGACAGCTTACCCCATAGTAGACTGTACCATTTTAGAAGAAAATTCCTTTTTTTTTAACTACCAATTGTCCCAATGTGGACATATGGAAAATGTTTTCAAAGTCGGGATTATTGGGAGGAAAAAACGGAATTATTGGATTCAGCATTTCTATAAGCATAGAAAGCAGGTTGATGAATCTGTCCTGAAGAAATATCATAAATACTGACTAAAAAAAAAATTACTTCCACTGAAGGGCCACAAAATCTAAATGGAGCTTAATTTGGCCACAAAGTGTAAGAAACTAAAATTTTTTTGAAAACCAATTATAAGAACAGGGAGGAAATCTACACACATTCCTTAGATATACAGATTTGCCAAACTTTAAGACAATCTTCAGGAAAGAAAGATCTGACACTAAACACACCTCCAGCAATCCTATTTGTTACCACAATCAAAGCCCTGGACCAGAATCAAAACCTTTGCATCTGAACCTATGAGGTTCCCAAACCTGCACATCAGGAACAGAACACTCTGGACTAATGATGGCCGGAGAAAGCTGAATCCAGGGCCACCAACGAGAGGATCTGTGTCGGGGTTATCTCCAACATCACACTGTCATATACTGCAAGAAATGATCTTCATAATCCATCCCAAGACCTACTGGAGACACACTTATCTTCAACTAATTATCCCCTGAAAAACAAAAGACTACTTACTAAGTAGAACACACTGGAAAGCGCAGTTACTAAGTAGAACTAAGTATTTAGTGTAGCCATTCTAAATTGTTACAACTTTACCAAGCCCGAATGGCAAGTCAGAAGCCGATTCCTGGCTCCCCTATTTGATAACTTATTTGCCTCTCCTGGCTCTCTCCTCTTAAGAGATCTAAGACTGACACAGACATTAGCAAACTTACGGCCTTTTTCCCCTGTAACACTATTTTTCTCCATAAAGTTCTATTCAGCATTTTTAAACACCCCTCTATAATAATACCGAGAAGCGCTCATGAGTTTAGCCTATGGCTCCCAAGGCTCAAAAACGGGGGGGGGGGGGGGGCAAGAAAAAAGTCAAAAATACTCTCTCTCTTCCTCAATGCCCTGGACTTGCAAAGCCAGGCAAAGGCAATGATTCTGCATTTAACCACCAGATGAATAAGAAACAGGGTTGAATTCTGAAGAACCATAAAGGAGTGCACGCACATTCAGTAAAGAGCTCTGCTTCTATTTCCCTGCAGGGCAGCTCTCAGGATCTGCCAATGAACCTCATTTTGACATGGAACACCCCATCCACTCTAATCCGGGGCATATCCCTCAAGAGACGGTCAGTCAAGCGGAACTCTGCCAACTCCTGCTCGGGTGTTGTGTGAGGAACAGTAGCAACAAGAGCCTACTGGGAGAAGGAGATCAACAATCACGCTCAAGAAGAAAAGAAGTTATTTGCCAAAGGGAAGCATGTTGCCAAAATGTTAGTCACAGCTTCAAGGTCCCAGTTCGTGTCTCTGCAACTATTCTTTGCTTTGACAGAGTCTATTCTCTGGCCCAGGAAACCCAGTTTAGCTTCTGTTACTTTCCCCATTTGAAGCAGTCAAAAATCCTTTCAATTTGGTGGTATCAAACTGTGACACAGACAAGATGTCCACCAGAAACCAAAAAGGAGGAAAAAAATGTGTAATTTGCCGTTTCCCACTTAGGACTGGCTCAAGTAGAGCAATGGAAAAGCGTGACAGGATAGGAAAAATGGAAAGTCATTATGTTACAGAAGCAGGTTATATCAAAAGCTTGCCCACAGCTCTGAGCCTCCATAATTTATTTCAAAACCTTCTTGAAAACAAACCAAAAAGACACACTGTAGGTTGAAATGACGGCAAAATATTAAGCAGGTTTTTACCTCCAAATAAGTGTCTATACTTCATAGCCTAGAGCTCTTCCCGGGATTCGTATGAAGACTGTGGTTGCTGAAACAACCGGAACCAGCAGCCCATGATTTCCAGAATTATTTCAGAGCAACAGGAAAAGAGACTCAAGCGAACCAATCAAAGAGCCTAAGAAGTCAAGAAAGAACATCGGACAATTTTCTCTTCAATAGGAACAGCACTCCTCTCTTCCCTTCTTAAAAGCCATCAGTAAAACCTGAAAATTCCACTGTTCTCAACCCCTTCCACCTTCCCCTGCATTTCATCTTTGTGCTGACATAACTAATCACTACCAACTAAGGTAAACACTACTCTGATACCAAGTGCGAGGCAGAATTAGAAACTGCCCCCTCTTAAGCAAATCCACGTCAGGCCTCAGAAATGCCAAGACTTTCAGGAACATTTCTTCTAAGCTAAACAAGTTCACCTATGTCCAAAGAAAAGCTAGAACAGTCAAGATTTCAAAGGATTAACAACAAAGAAGGTAAAACTGTCCACAAGCACACTGGTCCTCCCCAACTGGCAACTAACTGGTCCAAAGTGACTGGACCAAAGCCAAAGGTTCAACTGTCTAAAACACTACTTTTCAGTGAATTCTCAAAGAGTTCACGAGGAAAGTCAGTGTTTGTCAAGAGTAAAATACTGTGGTGGCTAGAAAACAAAACACTGCATTCTTCCGCATTCTCTATCAACCGACCTCATTCACCCTGAACTCTTAAATTCCCTATCTCCATCTTGTTGGCTACCAATACAAAGTAACACAATAATATGAAATTTTGGGCTACTAAAAGTTGACTCTCAGAAAAGTTAAAAAATTGGACATGTATCAAATCAAAATCAACTATTCCCTGATACAAAAAAAATGCAGCAAGGCTGAGAGGAGGAACCTGAGAAAGACACATCTTCTAAATATCAGTATCTCAGTCTTGTTTTCAGGGATCACCTTTTTGCAACCACTTTAAATATTCCCTTTGGTTAACAATCTTTTAGAGGCAGAGAGGGACCAAACTTGTCATTTCAAAGGTGAAAAAAATGAGATACGGGCGGCCCCCTGGCAGAGTGGTTAAGTTCGCGTGCTCCACTTTGGCCGCCCAGGGTTTCGGAGGTTCGGATCTTGAGCACAGACATGGCACCGCTCATCAAGCCTTGCTGAGGCAGCGTTCCACATGCCACAACTAGAAGGACCCACAACTAAAAATACACAACTGTGTACCAGGGGGCTTTGGGGAGAGAAAGGAAAAATAAAATCTTTAAAAAAAAAAGAGACAGTTTAATGATTTGCCTCAAAGTAAGTAAATCTATAGGTGGGCTAGGACGGTCCTTATTCCCTGAGGTTCTCTTTTGGTTTGTAAAAGGAGAAAAAAGTCACCAAAACATTCAGTAAGTCATTCAGAAACAGAAACTGTAAGGCAAAAATAACCACATGAGAAAGGAGGTGGATGCTGGGGGTGCCCAAAGCAGTAACAGATTGTTCAAATCCCTTGAAAAATACAAATTCCAGTACATACCAGCTTCTTCCAGTTCCTCACTCCAGTATTATTTTTTACAATGTTTCCTTCCTGATCAGCAACTGAACGACACACTGCCCAGGTTTAACAGGTTAAGATTTCCATCTTTCCTCACTTCACACCACTCCAACCTGAACTCTCAACTCTAGGTTGCTCCCATGCGCATCTCAACATTTCTCAATCCGACCTTTAACTCGACTCTGATTCCTTCTCAACCGACCCTCTTAAGATTCCCTCTAGTGTAGGCAGTTGTCCCGAGTTATCCTCTCCACCATCGGTTTTCACTCAACTCAACCCCCAAAATGTCACAGTGGCCTCCTCACCCGGGGCATCCTGTTAATCACCTGTTCCCAACAGGTCCTCCCGCCCCATCTCCCTTTTGGCGCACGATTACCTCGTTCCTTAGCCTGAGTTGCCGTCCTACTCACCTTACCCAACCCTCCAGGATCCCTTGTTTCCTGTCTCTCATTAACCTCCCTCCCCATTTTCATAGTCAGCGCTCGCCCCACACCAATTCCCGACCAGCCCTCCCTACTTAGATTCCCCACGCCCCCTTTCCTCCTGGTTCTTCAGACTCAGCCCCAGTCCCCTCACCCCTCAGGCCCCGCCCCCAGGACCCCTTGCTCCCTCAGGTCCCTCCTCCAATGTCCCCCCTCTCCTCAAACTCCGCCCCAATCCCCCCTCCCCTAGCTCTCCCTCCCACTCAGGTCCGCAGGTCATCTCAGCGCCAGACCCAGCCTCCTCGGCCCCTTTCCGACCTGGCCGCAGCGGCTCCGGGAGCGAATCCTCCGCCACCTCCGCTCCGGCTTCTGCCGTCCTGCTCGCCCCCCAGCAAGCTCCCTTTCTCGCCGCCGCCGCCCCTTTTGCCAACCCGGAAATGGATCGGCTCCCACTGTCCCCAGCGTCCGCGAACAAAATGGAGGCGGGGGAAAAAGGAGGAGGGAGCTAGGAGCGAAGAGACGCTACACGCATGCGCCCCTGGAAAGCCCGCCCCCGGCCGACGGACGTTAAGGCGGAAGCGGTCGGGTGGCAGCCATCTTGGGAAGGTCACAAGGGTTCCGTTTACCAGCTAGAAGCAGACTTCTGGCTACAATTGAAATCATCTAGGAAGACTTAAATAAATAGTGCTGCTTGCGTTCCACCCTCAGAGGTTCTGATTTAACTGGTCTTGGGTACGGCGTAGGCATCGGAACTTTTAAAGTTGCGCAGGAGATTCTAACACGTTGTCGAGGTGGAGACTCGCTGAGCTAAAGATTCTTGAGTACGCCTCTTTTTCCTCTTTATTCCTCCGCGCACGAGCACGCGCCCATACTCATCCTAAATGTCTTTCCCTAGTTTCAAGTTAACGAAGAAGGCCTCAGTCAACCTCGTAAGGGCCGGGTAGTCAAGTTCCGGTTGTCATAGCAACCGAGAGACAGGCCCCTGCTAACAAATCATCTTTAACGTCATGTTAGCTACCTAAGCTGAACACCCGTGAACACCCGTCTTTTTGGCGGCCGGGGGCTCCCCAGCTTCCAGGGCCAGGGGATGGTGCTGTGGATTCCTCCAGCTGCTTGGGTCAGGGAGAGGAATCCTGTGCCCTTCCTGGTGGGGCTGCTGTTACCTTTGTCCCAGCTGACTAAGGGTCCCTCTCTAGTCCCCCCACAAAAGCGATTTTCCGCTGCAGCCAATCTCACTGCCTTATATCCTCAAAATGCTCTTCAGGTCTCCCTATCATCCTTCCTTGCGCTGAATCCAGAGTAAGTTGACAGATTTGGGACTTAGTTCCCATTACTTAGTATGTACCATCGGGCCTCAGCCACCCTATCTGTAAAATGGGGCTAATAGCGCCTGTCCCGACTGTTTCATAGGGTCGTTGGAGAGCTCAAATAGGTAATGAATGGGAAAGCACGTGGTAAGCCATAAGTTGTTATTATTTTTGTTTTCCTTCTGCCATGAGTTGTGCTGGGCACCACCCATGAGTCAAATAAATGTCACAGTGTTCGTTGAGTACCTGCTGTGGGCCACCTACTGGGCTAGGCACCAGGAGATGGCTACAGAGGTGACTAAGACAGAGCCTCTGCCCTCAGGGAACTCACTGTGTGGTGGGCAGACTGGCATGTAAGAAGCTAGCTAAGATACAAGTCAGCCTGTGATTAGTGTCATGGGGACATATCTGCTGTGGGACATCAGACAAGGGAGTGATTAATTCCTGCTAAAGGATGGGAGAAGGGGTACTGGCCCTGTTGCATAGTGGTTAAGTTTGCATGCCCCACTCCGGCAGCTGGGGTTCATGGGTTCAGATCCTGGGCACGGAGCTACACAATACACCATTCATCAAGCCATGCTGTGTCAGTGTCCCACATACAAAATAGAGGAAGATTGCCACCATTGTTAGCTCAGGGACAATCTTCCTCAAGCAAAAAGAGGAAGATTGGTAACAGATTTTAGCTCAGGGCTAATCTTCCTCACCAAAACAAAATAAAAAAAAAAAAAAGACGAAGAATGGGAGAAGTTTTCATAAATGGTTTTGAACTGGGCCTTGAAGGATGAGTAGGATTTTATTACTAATCAGAGAAGGCCAGAAACACATTCCAGACATAAGGATCATAGATGCAGAGGTGAAGATTTTCAGGTATGTAGTCCTGCGTATGTGAAGGCAGGGTGATTAGGCCAGGGAGATAGTGGATCTAAACTCTCAGCTCAGGCCAATCCTGGTGGCCTGGAGGTTAAGTTCAGTGTGCTCCACTTCAGCCGCCCAGGTTCAGTTCCTAGCCGCGGACCTGTCAGTGGCCATGCTGTGGCGGTGGCTCACATACAAAAAGAGGAAGATTGGCAACAGTTGTTAGTGCAGGGCAAATCTTCCTCAGCAAAAAAAAAAAAAAAAAAAAAAACCCACCTCCTAGCTCTTCAATCTCATCTCCATCCTGTCCACTTCCTCACTATACACTGTGTGGACCTGCTTTCTATCACTGCAATGCACCAAGAGGTTCTTCAAGGCCTTTTTATTGGCTTTACTCTGTGTCTTCCTCATTTGTCAGCTCTTAGCTCAAATGTTCCCTCCTCAAAGGGCATTCCCTGCTCACGTTAGTTAACGTAAGCCCCCCATTCTCTATAACATCACTCCATGATAAGGGCAGCGGATGGGGTGGAATACAGGGACATCTCAGCCAGACTTGGGGAGATAGGCATGGGCTTCATGAAGAAAGTAATATCTAAGTGAGGGCTGAGGGCAAAGTAGGAATTGGCCAGAGGCGAGGGAAAGCATGCAAGGGCAGAGGCAGAGTATATGCGAAACAGAAGAAACATGGCACGTTCCAAAACCTGAAAGCATTTTGATGTGGTTAGAGCTAGAACTTATGGGAGAAGCAAGAAATTAGGTCAAAGAAGTAACCATAACATCTGACATTTATTAACCCTTTCCATGTGCCAGGCACTATCATAGCTTCACATGTCATAACTCATTTAATCCTTGCAAGAACTTTCTGAAGTAGGTAATATTACCCTCATTTTACAGATGAAGAAACAGATGCAGCAAGGTTAACTGTTTTGCCCAAAGTCACATACCTACGAAGTAGCAGAACTTTCTCCGGAGTCTGTTCTCCTAATGCCCGTACTGTGACTCTGCACCCTACCAGACCCAATGTCCCTTTATTATAACAAATATTCTGTAACTTAGTTTCACCATCCTGAAGTGAAATTAACAGATAATAGAACCTATCTGATTTCAAAGAAACAAATCAATAGAATGCCCTGACTATAAAAAAGACAAGAGGGAGGCATTTCAATATGGCAATGCTCAGGCACCACTATGCTGGAAGATACACAGTAAAATAGTCACATGCTTGCACTCATGCCTAGAATCAATAAGAACATGATAGGGACAAAAGCAGACTGACCTAAGGAGTTATATTGGGCAGTGTTGTCATTTGTGATTTTCCAAAATGGTGAACGACTCTTGTTAAAGTTCTGAACAACGCAGTAGTTGTATTCCTAAAAAAAGACAGGTTATGTTAAGTACGTGCAAAAAATATTTCGTGTTTGTACTTTCCTTTTCTGATAATATGACAGGCTAAGTACCTGGGAGAACTTCTCCCTAAAAACAACTAAAAATCCTGGATGCAACACTAAAAAGTCTTAAATGCTTTGACGAAAAAAGTAAGGAATTTTCAGGGCAAAACAAAGTAAGTGAAGGCAGATGATGCAGAGAGAGGTAAGTGGAACACTGAGGCAGGCTTTGTTCTGAGGACGCTGCCTGGCTGGGTGAACTTGAGCTTCTGTCAGGGTCTCATGGGAAAAGGAAATGCCCCATGGAGCTCCTCCACAGGGGAGTTTAACAGGAGAGTCTCCTTCATAAAGATGGGACCTCAGGGGCCATCCCAGTGGCCCAGCGGTTAATTTCGCATGTTCTGCTTTGGCAGCCTGAGGTTCACCAGTTCGGATTCTGGGTGCGACCTACACGCCACTTATCAAGCCATGCTGTGGCAGGCACTCCACATATAAAGTAGAGGAAGATGGGTACGATGTTAGCTCAGGTCAACTCTTCCTCAGCAAAAATAGGAGGAATGGCAGCAGATGTTAGCTCAGGGCTAATCTTCCCAAAAAAATAAAATAAAATAAAAAAAGATGGGACCTCAAAGAACTACATCCTCATGGGAAGGGTGAACCAGAAATAAGCCTGTCCCCTTTTCCCTTAGGTGTAGGGTTAATGGAGACAGATTCTAGGCTCAGACGTAATAAATACATTTTTCATGTAGACTGTCCAGTGGGACATTGAAAGTCATGTGGAACTCAGATTCTTGGTTGTGTGGAACCATCCCTTGCCTTGCAGCCTCTAGCATCCCTGACCCCTGCCTGCTAAATCCTTTATCGTTGTGATCAGCAAAAAGGCCTCCACAAATTTCCAAAATGCCCCCGTGGAGAACCACTGCCCCATGCTACACTGTCAAGGTGACAGGGGACAATTTGTGAAGGACTGTATCATGTATCGTGAAAAGTTAGATTTTATCTTGAGGACAAGAGAGAAACCATTGAAAATTTTAAGCCAAGAAGTGCCATGACCCACTTTGCCTTCTAGAAAGATTACTCTGAGTGCAGCAGGGAGGATGGCTCAGATGGGGCCAGGTTGGAGGCAGGAACGCCAGGCAGGAGGCTGCTGTGGAAGTCTAAGTGTTAGATGATGGTTGCCTGTACTGACTGAAGAGCCCAAGGCCTCAAGTCTAAGTTCTCCCCACTACTGAACAGAGTGAGACTTTGGGCAGGTTATTCAACCTCCATCAGCCTCAGGCTCCTCATCTGCAAAATGGAGATAAGACTAAATAGAATGCATCAGAAGTTGTGTACAGGGACCAGCCCGGTGGCACTGAGGTTAAGTTTGCACGTTCCGCTTCGGCGGCCTGGGGTTCACCGGTTTGGATCCTGCGTGCAGACATGGCACCGCTTGGCAAGCCATGCTGTGGTAGGCGTCCCACATATAAAGTAGAGAAAGACAGGCATGGATGTTAGCTCAGGGCCAGTCTTTCTCAGCAAAAAGAGGAGGATTGGCAGCAGCAAG